ACATACCTAGAGATTACATGTCTATAAATGTGTCGTGTCACTTGGTTGTATACAAGAGATCTTTAAGGTTTTTTGTAAGGACACTTCCTGGGAACAATGGCACTCAAGGAATTGTCATAAAACATAGTTAGTACGACTAGTGAGCTGTTTGGTACGCGTACATTGTATGCTCGGTCAGAGCAGAATAGTTCCTCTCAGTCAAAATGGTCACTTTGGTGCCCTTTGTTTGACGGTTTCACAGTGGATTTTCGAGTTGTCTCAAACTACAACATTCAACGTTATACAATTTAAACACTGACCACTAAAATTGTAGAGTACTGCTCAGTCAGTTTGATGATGAACTGTTACACAATCATTGGGTACCAGACACTGCAATAAATACTTTTTGTTTTTGACATTGAGAAATTCTTTCATTTTTATGGAGAAAAATACAGTATTTTTACCGATTAAAATTATATATATTGAAGTTATTGCTCATACACGAGTTGTATGATTACATACACTACATTGTTTTAATTTATTCAGTTGTTTTCAGTCATAATTCAAGAGAAATGATATGCAAATATATATATTCTTGTGTAACCATGACAACTATTAATTGTGTGCATATAAAATACTTTTCGTTATGAATTATTCATAATATATTTTTCTGAATTTTCTTTTCAAAATCAGTTGCTTTCCGGATTTAGGGAAAACGAAAGAATTTTACTTTGCCAAATCAGAAAACGTTTTTGTAGTTTTTATGTTTTTTTCTGATGTTAAAAAATATCTCTTGGAGTACTAAGATGCTAAATGTAACAATGCCTCATTTGCATTATGTGACGTCACCAAAAACGAGTTATCGTCTTTGAACTAGACATTGCATAAGGAATGGAGCAATTGAATAGTATGTCTTTGAATTGGACGAGACCATCGGCTTCCCAACAGAATATAATTCGTTTAGTTTTTTCTTTATCGCAAGTGTCTTGGTATGAGCGGTGACAAACTTACATGCACTCGAAGACGACAGGACGAGTCTTAACTGTGCCTTGATCATGTGACTGTATCGTCGTCGTCACGGAAGTAAATAATAAATTATATAATATATAAATTATTATAAGTTTTTTGCAGAAATGTCTTTTTGTCTTATACTTTTATCATTATAATAATGTAAATACAGCGCTCGACAATCATGCAATATTTTGGCGACAAACGTAATTTTAAACTATTGTTCTTGGGCGAGGCCGCTAACTGAGTTTTAAACTTGGTGTGGTTAGTACCCAGTCTTGTGATTAGTTCTTGACAAATTCTGAATCGGCCACGCTTCAAACTGTACTCACCTGTGCCGTGTTTTCTGTATAACTGTTAATTATTCGTAAATAAAGTCAACTTGTGTAGTTATCTTGAACATGAACATCAACATATTTTCTGGCCTGTGAATACCTGTGACGTCCGAAGGACTGAACGTAACACCTCGGTGATACGCCGCTGATATTAGCATGTTGGGTTGGGTTGACTGAACCGCTATAATGAAATATGTTGTCCTTTACGTAAATCATTAGAACTATGGGTAATATTTGGCCCGATTCAGTTAACACTATTACCGATGGCTAATGAAACTCTGGGAGAGGAGATGTAGATGAAACACGTTAGGTCAGTGTTGTTTTGGTTTTTCGACGTGCAATATAAAATCAAATATAAATGCCACACTGTGCGTGGGTAGTGTGACGGTTACAGCAAAAGTTTTGTATTTCCAATCTGCTGCGTGCTCTTTCTATCCGAATAACCTTTGTACGCTAAACCGCACACAAGCTGGAATATTACTAGTTATTAAAAGTTTGAGGCAAATACCAATAATTTTTTGGTAGCATTGACATGTTAACAACAAGGACGAAAACAATGCACAAGGCGTGCCATGACACTAATTAATTAAATTAAATTAAAGCGGGAGTGCCGTCATCTGAGCACGCGCGGGAATTGAGTCCCAGGCGATGATAACACACGCTAAGAGCGCAAAGGCTCATGGGTAGGCGCATTTTTGTAAACAATGACCACCTGACGCATGCGTAGGTGAAGACTCCCCCACTTTAATTTATGAAAGACTGCGTTCACATATTTTATCGAATAACTAAAACTGATTATATTGTTTACAACTCGACACTTTTACTCAATGAATGTTCCTCTAGACAACGTTTGAAATTGTTTGCATTTTGACGAATAACTGAAATTAGTATAACTTGATCGATTAAGTCGCATCCCGTCTTTAGAAACGAAGGGCTGTTGTGACGTCAAAAATACACGAAAGATATATTCGTAGAAACAGAACTCTGCCTGGGAGATTGTTTTTTGAAAGCAGTCTAATCTACAGAAATGTGTTAGCGGATGTGATGGCGTTGTGGATGAAGCTTTCTCCATCTGTTGTCTCCCTCAGAACCTTAGTTTAGTGTATGTTCTTCGAAATGTTCGCACATACTGCATATATACATAGTCATTGCTTACATCATTACCATATGACAACCAGAATGGCGAACCTTGTCTAAATGACTAAATCCCGCAATTGCATAAACACACTGCAGAATTCCTGTATAACACGCATATTGCATATTATTCAAATATACTCCCACTCGAATATGTATGTTGATTTATGCAAACAACTTAGCATTACCACACTTCACATTGTAGTATAGCAATGAAGCTATACATCTTTGGATGTACTCGCTGGTTGTTGGCGGACGACCACAGAAACAATCAACAACGATGGTGTCAACAGAAACGGATGATCTATCACGTGCCAGTTCATATATTCATGAAAAAGCTGGTTATCAATATTTCTATTTCAATTATCCCAGTTTCTATTACATTTTTTCAAAAGCTACTAGTATATCACCACTCTTGCTATACCGTATTAGAATTGTGAAAATCACAAGACTGATATCGTGATCAAAGATAAGTCACACACATTAAAAGAATAAAGAGCTTTATAATGTTTTGTCATGCATTTATTCACAACAACAACTTGATTGGTCGAAATTTACCAATTCGCGACAGCCGTATAACTTATTAGTTAAATCATGATCACTCGACACTTTAAGATTTGGACTACCATTAAATTCAAACGATGTTTGGTAATCGCTACTACCTACTAACGTATTAACTTATTTCATATATATTATAGATGTGACGTATTTGAAGCACGTGTGGAGCTACAAATGACGCCGTGGGTTACATAATTCTCTCTGGAACGAGGCTTAGTCAATAGCTGCGATGACTGTGTCATGTAGGTTACTCTGATTGTCCACGTCATGTTTGCAGATAAAATGCCTCTACCTTGTTTTGCTTTTAGCAAAACTTGTGCTGAGTTCGAGACACCTAAATGTTGTTCCAATATGTCGATAGACGATTGATTTGAGCCACAACTTTTGCTCTGCCCATCGAACTTTAATCTGGTGAATTGATGCTTTCAAAGCTGGTTGCGAGAATACCTGCGTCATATCCAGACTCCGATTCCTCGTGGTAATTAGGGTTCTCAAATGACGTCACGCGTTCAGTTGGCAGCGTTAAGTTCATTGACGTTACACTGGCTAGTTTACCTGTTTTTTTAGCCCAAGGTACGAGGCACAAAATAAGAGCACCGGCTACAACACACGAGCCGAACATATAGAACACGGTGTTGTACGATGTTTCACTGTCGAATATACACCCTGAAAAAAATTAGATATTACAACTTATAAGTGCAGTCGGTATTAAATTCAGTCATTCATTTTTCGGTACGTTTGTCACTGTCATATTTACTCAGTGAAACACACACGTACTATATCTTGTTCAGTTTGTTTTCTCTGAAGTTGAAGCTGTTCGCAGTTGTAGTCCCTCTATAGACGATGATATTTTGGCGGCACATCTCACACCCCCTCCTCTACCCACCGGGATTACATCACATAGAACATAGATTTATATCACATTTCTCAAAACATTATATTTTTGTGAAGGTCTACTACAGATCAAAACAGCACCATATTGCGTCACGGCACGTCACAGAAACGCTCCGTTGTTGGAGGGCGTATGTGTGATTAATTGAATTCAGTTCGCCATTTGCTCAGAGTGATTGGGCTATGAGTTTATTACGAGTGTCCTCGAGGGCGGAGCTATGTCACAGAACGTTCTATGTTGCTAAGGCGCGCGCCACTTGCACCATTTATTTCTAAGGTCACTGCGCGAGCTTCTGTGGAACGCCGGCCAAAGGCCGGTAAAAAGGGCTAAAGTCGAGGAAATAGCACAAACTCAACTTTGAAGTAACCTTGAGCAACCGCATGTATATATTCTGCACATATAGGGGAAATCTTGTTACACTGTTCCGTAGAGTCTCAACAACCATTTCAAAGCACCGTTTTCTGGAAGTTTTCGGCCTTTGTTTACACCGTGATGGTTGCCACGTGTTGAAAATCCCCGGATGTCCGCCCCCGAAGATACCCTCAAAAAATTCACAAGACAGTATCGACCAACATGCAGCGAAGATCAATGCGACTGCGTACTATCTGAATGCACACTTTACTGTATCCAGGTAATAACCCTGTTATTTGAGATATTCGGCTACTCATTTTATGTGTGCGCGTACGCGTAACGTCACGCGTTTCTGCGGAGATGTCATCGAATCCTGAGAACGTCTTCGCGTACGCGTAAACCGATCCGTGTAAATGAAACGTGTGCATTTAATTTCCTTTTGGGACAGAACAATGCATGCACTCATTAATTTGTTAATGTCTTCTGTATGTTGGATTGCATTTTTGTATATTTAAAGGGCGGTGATCCGTAACGCCGCGTCCTGTCGTGGACTCATACCGACGTATGCAATGCGTGTAAAATGCAATGTCTGTTTCTATGAAATTTGAACACGCGCTATTCGTAGTACTCCTTTCACTGAATGTAATTTGCTTCGATACACAATCTGGATGTGTCCGTCTTCTAGTCTCGAAATTTGACCTTAACTTGAATTTAACATCAGTCATCTTATCCAAATGAAAACGCTGGGCCATGGTTACATTATACGTATTGTAATTGGAATGCCATTATCTACCGATACAGTTCGAAATCGTCATTTTAAATTTAAAATCAGCAGTTTGCCATTATGGACAATAAACCGCACGATCTACACATAAGAGTGTTTTAACGCATAGCCGAACGATTTGTCACCCGAACGTCTACGTCAACGTGAACGCGGATTCTGCGCGTACATGTAAACGTATAGCGTAAAGTCGAACCGCTATATTGCTTTAAACTTCGTTTTCAAGAAAAATAAGGTTCAACATTAGCATAAATTGTAGGACAAAATATATCATTTGAGATAGTTAAAGCGCGGTGGTCGTCGTGCAGCGCGTGTTCGAATTTCATGTAAATAAACAATGTATTTTACACGCGTTGTATACGTCACTATGAGTTCCATATTGAACAGGACGCGGCGCGACGACTGCCTTCCTTTAAGATACTGATTTGTTTGCCAAGAGAAACAATGATAAAATGCCTTGATACGGCCAAAACATACAATTTTTACTCTATTATTTTTACTTAACACCACCATCTACAATTCAATCCAGGGAAGAAATTGTCGTCGCGATATCGATGTTACATCGTTTTTTGAAGAGACGAATAATGATAGAGGGCGCTGTAAATTATTATCGTGGATCACATCTTGGCCGTTAAACCACGGTTACTAAAAGTAAATCATGATTAAATGGACACGAACACTTTCCTCTGAATTTAATTGTTTGTGTATAGATATTACTGATTTTGATACACAAATACACTGATATAAGGTCGACCATTTTGTTTAATTTGGACACCAGAAGCATTATTGCAACAATTTTTGTGCGGAGTTCTTCAGTTTCCTCCTAAGGCAGATGTTAAAATCAGTCTGAGTTAATGAAACAATAATTACCTGCGATTGGTGGACCCAGCATGAATGCAACTGATGTGGTTACCAACATGCTCCCCCATGCTTTTGTCATCTTGTTCACACCCACCAAATCTTGCGTTAAAATAGGCAACAGTGAAATAAACAGACCGTCTGCCAAACCATATAAAACAACCAAGGCAACGAGCCAACCGTATCTGGTCGCCAGGGGGAACAACATCATTACCACGCCGCTGGTCAGCATACAAATCTGGTTAGAATAGATACGATTCACTTTGACAACGTCACAGAGCTTGCCGAATATGATTCTAGCGATAGTGGTGGCCAGGCCGAGGTAGCACATCAGCCAAGCGCCACTACCAGCCGAAAATCCGCACATTTCGGCATACTTGACCTAAATCAGGAGAAAACGAAACAGGGCATAGTTAATATCTCCATAACCAATACCGCGATGATAAATAACAATATACGTGTAATTGCGAAATTAATTTAAAAAAAGGAAAACGAAAATGTGTTTTCACTTACTAAATGGACGTATGGTACGTAGTATCCGAGAAATACTAATGATATAGTCGTAGTCCAGATCCAGAACACACGATCTTTCCAGATTGCGGTATCAGATATGAATTTTTTCAGTGGCGAATTTTGAATGCTTTCTGACGGCAACAACAGCCGTTGACATTCCTTAACTGAACGATAAGAGAAGGACGCCACCAACGCCAGTAACATCATAGTGGCTTCGATTCTGAACGCGTTGCGCCATCCTACGTGAGTAACCAGAAACTGTGTAAGGGGCGTCATCATCAACGTGCCGACACTGACTCCTGCCAGTGAGATCCCTGTTGCTAGGCAACGGTGTTTGAGAAAGTATTGCCCGCTGGAAATTATCGCCACAGTGTACGGGAAACTGGAACCTATCCCGAATAGTATACTATGAGTAAAGAAGAGTACTGCGAGACCATTGGCAAACGAGGATGAGGCTAATCCGATGACGCAGACGACACATCCCGCTACTGATACTGCGCGATGACCGTAACGAGCACATGCCAGGGATGCTATTGGACTGAACAATAACATGAATCCACATGAAAGGGAACCGACGAATGCTGTAAATAAAAATCAAAGAAATGGAATTTAATAGCTATGAAATGAAGTTATGTGTACTGAGTTCAAGCACGCAATGTTGATTCCTTATTTTATGAATGTTTTAATATGAACCATTGAATATTTCACTTCCGGGTTCCATGACGTCACTGTATATAGTGAATAATTAATACCAATACGTTTTAGTACAGAACATTCTTGGTGATTTCGCATCGGACCAAGATTTAAGAAAAAAAGGATATCTAACACCGTAATATAAAATACAGTGTGCTGTAATGTTGCGGTATTGCACTGGGTATTTTCATCCTACCATATTAGGAAATGCGAATTCCAAATATGGAGCGATTGCATGTGTGAGCGTCCTTTAATAATAAACATGGCAGCCCCCGGGGGCTGATCGGACTCAACACAAAAAAGTTTCCTGAATCTGTTCTAAACTTCTTGGATTTCAGCATTCTCATAATGTATCCTTGGAAAGAAAAGATGTATAATAATATGGTTATTACGAGGATACCATAAGGTATGCACTCGGACAGTACGTAGTTCGGTACTTCCGCTGTACTGTCTTCGTGCATACTTTTCAGTTACCTCGTAATAACCTCAAAATCATTAAAAACACACAAAATCGCCACAGTTGGGCCAAGCTAGTGTGCGCTTTCCGGAAACCCAAATAAAAAGTGATAGTATTATTTTACTCCGTACGTATACCCCTGCGCTACCGTACAGTTTGCCAAGCGTTCAAGCAACAGAATCTCGGTAATGTGACAGGTCTATATATGATTCGTTCGATTCTGAATTCACAATCTTACCTCGGGTTGAACACTAACGTAAGAACCCACCCACACCAACCTGAGAATACCTCAAACGCTTTTGTGACGTCAAAATGACATATAGCTGAAGTCAATGTCGTTCAAGTCGATCACAGTGGTTGTGTATTCGTTCTCCATCTAGAAAGACTACCGATGAAAACGGTATCGACAATTAGAATGGCCTTCTGTCACTAGCACCGTCACTAGAGGGCGCACTTTAGAGAAAAGGCGTATTGCATGCATTACGGCAATTTGACAAAATAACCGCAAAATTTTGGATTTAACGCTATAAAATATCACAAATTCATTATTCTATAAAAAAAAAAAAAAAAAATAAGTGCAGCTACCACATTTAACTAAGCAATATATCAAAAATGTATAACTTGCTTTCAAAATTTCTAGTTACTAGTTAAGGCCCGGTCACACCGCCCGAACTTTGTTGGGGCGGTGAAAAAAATTCATCACCGCTCGTTACCGTTCACCACCACCGTTTACGCTCGGCCACCGCTGATGGTCCCTCCTACCGCTCCGAAAGTTTTGAGCTGCACAAAATATTGCGAGCGGTGAGAAGCGGGCAATTTTCCGCTCCGGCAT